ATGACCACACCGTTCATGGCCGCCTACGTCAAGCTGCTCGTCCGCACGTGCCACCGTCGTGGCGCTCACGCTATGGGCGGCATGGCGGCTCAGATCCCCGTCAAGAACGACCCGGAGCTCAACAACAAGTTCATGGCTGCCGTCACGGAGGACAAGTCGCGTGAGGTGACTGCGGGTCACGACGGCACGTGGGTGGCGCATCCGGGTCTCGTCAAGATTGCCATGGACGCGTTCAGCAAGATGTCGGGTCCGAACCAGATCTCGTTCATCCCTGAGGTCGGCAAGGATATCACTGCAGCTCAGCTCATCGAACCCCCGACGGGTGCTATCACGTACAATGGTCTGGTGGAGAATATTGACGTGTCGCTCGTGTACACGGAGGCGTGGCTTCGTGGCAGTGGCTGTATCCCGCTGCATAACAAGATGGAGGACGCTGCTACGGCCGAGATCTCGCGTGCACAAGTCTGGCAATGGATTCGTCACAGCTGTAAGACGGTGGAGGGCAAGACCGTGACGAAGGATTTAGTGCTGGACATCCTGAAGGAGTGTGTCAACAAGCGGTCACTGAATGCCCCTCCGGGCAACAAGTGGGCGCTCGGAGGCGAGATCATGGGCAAGGTGCTGACAGGAGACGACATGGTGGACTTCCTCACGCTGCCGTGCTACCCGCGCATTGTGCAGCTCGGATCGAGCATCTGAAGCTAAGGTCCCATCGCTGAAAGAGCATCCTGGCATGCCAAGGACGAGCTGACTGAGCGATCCGAGCAGTAGGAATGTGGGGCGGTGGGACTTTTTGGTCATGACACGATGGAGAGACAGAGAAGGATTGAGTGTCTGGGTCTTCGGTCAATTGCTAAAGGGGAGGGGGATTTTATATAAGTGAGTATAACACGAATTATTCACAAGCAACTTGTGTACTCCTTTTCAGAATCGCTTTTAACTCTTTGAAGCGGTTGTTGCTCTGTGCATCCAGATCGCCATTCTGCCACCACATTTGCAACACGGAGCTCTTGTGTTTCTTGTAGTAGTTAGTAATAAGTGACTACGTACATGTACTTAAAGTAGTAACAGCTATATCATACCGGACGTTAGCCCGTAATTTCTCTTTGCGGTCGGCCTTGATGGTATCGGTCGCTGCACTGCTGTCGCTTCTGAAAAGCTCTTGGAGAGGTCGATTGCCAGTCCTAATGGAACGACGTTCTTAGCCTCCTCGATAAGGAAGATTACCGTACTGAAGGAAGGTCGTTGAACCGGGTCAGGATCCCAGCACGCTTTCATGATTCGGTGCAAAATTTCGGGGATGTGAGGTAGAAGCCCAGGACGTAGATCCTCATGGGCTACGAGGTAGGCTAAGTTGATTGCATCTTTGTCCAGATACGGCTTCTTGAAACAGAAGAGTTCCCTGAGGACAGAAATCCGTAAGAATACAAATAATGTATCTAGTGGAGACCTGCAACTATTTCGTACCATAGTACGATTGCGTAGGAGTAAACATCAATCTTCTCAGAGTAGTCTTCGCCTCGGAAAACCTCCGGTGCTAGCCACCGCGGCGTGCCACACATTGTCTGTGCATTGGTGTTTTTGTCGAGACTGCGCGAGAGGCCGAAGTCGCTTAGTTTACAGCGAAAATCTTCCGTGATCAAAAGATTCTCTCCCTACACAGACAGAATTCATTATCAATGAATCGCGTGCACAGAGGTTTTGCACGCTATACCTTAATATCGCGGTGAAGCACTGCTGGATTAAGCGCATGGAGGTAGGCGCACGCTTTTGCGCAGTCCAACGCGATCTCGAGCGTGAGTCCCCACGTGATATTAAGCTGTTTACTGCGAGCAAGTCGAAGAAGATCTACCAATGAGCCAGCACAAAGCTCCGTCAGAAGACACAGCGTCGGTGGCTCCAACACGGCACCGAGGAGCATCACAATGTTGGTGCACGAGTGCACACACAACTGACCAGGTGGTGGTCGAGGCAACGCACGCAGTCGCAACTGGTGCTGCGCCGAGCAGGACACCGTGATGATGGCTGCTTGCCTCACCATAGGTTGGTACCCGTGAGTACTCGGTGTCAACGCCAGACACCAATGCCGCAGTGGAATAGTGGTGAGATGTGCCCCACCACGGTCGAGTACCATCAAGGTACATGGTGTCTGTGACAGACACTGGTATAAGTGCAAAGGATGTGCACCATACCACGACCCGATGCGCTCTGGACGCTGTAAGTCAACGCACGTACCGTGCATCGGCACTGGCTGCTGTCGAGCAGCCTGCCAGGAGTTCTACGTAATGAACTCGTCGTGCATGACACACATGACGTGCACGGAGCACTTATGGTAGCTGTGGTACGTGTCGTACACAGCGTACTTCGTGTACGGGCCCATGGACCTGTACACTGTGCTTGCACATGCGTCGTGCATGATGCGAGCACTGGCCATGAATCTGTTCAGGCGACAGCACAGCAGAAGCTGTTGCCGCCAAACATGGCAGCCTTGTGGTGGGCGTACCGCACCAAAGGTTAGTACCGTACGGTACATGGTGTCGATGGGAGACACCTACACCACGGTTGTGTACTGTCACGGTACACGGTGTCGATGAAGGACACCTACGCGCCGTTAGTATGGTGACCAAGACGCGAAGAGAGCGTGGCAGAAGCTTCGCCCGCAAGGATGGATCCTTGCTGGAGCCAAAGGCATGGCCCGAGGTGAGCTGAGAGCTCTCTCTAGTGCTGGGGAAGGTGTTGCCCTTCTCGGTGTCGTCCCTCGCGGGAGACACCATGCTCCGGACGCGTTCACGAGGACTGTCGTGTCCTCTGGTGCGAGCTGTGGGCGAATGCCACACGTTCGGATGCTATTGCACCCTGTGCCAAAGCACTGTGCGCGCGCTAGCGCAGGAGCTAATGCAGCTCTGAGTGTAGGCTTTGCGGCCAACACAGTTGTGAG